ACACTAAACTCATATGGGTGAGTAGAACATGATGTAATAATGTAAAATCAAGGGCCCAATGTAAGAAAAACAGAGTTCCCCTTTAAGGAAAGGCAATATAGTGTTTGGGATAAATGAGCCCAGACACTGCATTGCTTTATAGATAAGGTCACCATGTGCAATGTTTATAAAGAAATAGTAAAGTAAAGTAAATGTTTTAGAATTTCATATTTCTGAACACCAACAGTTTCCAACTGCCTGTAAAAACAGCAATGACCCTTAAAGAGTAAATCTTTTCAAGCAATTTAACAAAAAGGAAATATCTGATTGAATTAAACAGGAGTCCCTGTTTCAGAGAAAAGACCAAAACAGTGAGACAGCAAGTGAAATCAGTAAAGCACAGAAGAAGAAAAGAGTGATGTGATAAAACAAGGCAGCCAGCTGTCAGTCAGTGTTGATGAGAGGAGCTTTATTAGATTAGAGCTGCTTGTAACCGACGTGGAGCAAGTCTTTGTTCCCGGACAAACGAGCAAATCACAGGAGCCTTTGATTTTAGAGCTCTTCCAGTTAAGCAATGCCGTCAATGAGTCATCGCCTCTCTGTGTGAGCAACCGATGAACGCACGCCCACATTACGCCCCCCTCAGCCAATCAGCCTTTGCTCCAAGTCGCTTGAATGGATCGAGATGTAAATAAGGAGCCAGCGCAACCAGCATGTGAGAAGGAATTAGTTAGGTTACCGGAAAAATAACTGTTGCTAATGATGCTATTATGTAATGCTGTGACTCCCAACACTGAGGCTATGCAGGCCGGGGGGGGCTTTACTCTCTAAAGGTGCGCCTCAGGGTTCAGTCCTAGGTCCCCTCTACTGATGAAAATGTCTCCATCCATTCAGATGACTCCATTAGGACTGAAACAATCAGATGAATCGTGATTAATCGATGATTAAAATACTCGTCAACTAATTGAGTAATCGATTAATCGTTAACTGGAGTATATAGACTCCGTAAATATGCCTTTAACTGACAGAGAAACCCACTTAAATAGTATTTATAACAAAATTGTAAAAATATATATGAATATTTTGCATTTAAGATAAAAAAAAAAAAATGTGTTTGTGAATATGCTCTATCCTATGACGGATTATTAGGGCCGGGCTGTAGATTTTTTTTTAAATACAAGAATAAATTCATAAAATTATGAGAATAATGTTGTAAAATTATAAAGTTGTAATATTACAAGAATAAAATTGTAAAATTATGAGAATAAAGTCCTAAATTTACGAGAATAAAGTTGTATTTTTTGACAACTGTTGCAAGAAGCACAGTCTTCTGTAAAAAGAGGAATATCGAGCGTTTTGTGAAGCTACATTTTAGCATCGATTTCATAAATAAGGACATATTAAGTCTTTTAGCACCAGCATTAAATTATTATCAGTATGTCTGAGTCAAAGTGGACTCTGGTTGCTGTTTGGTGGAAGTTTTCGAAGCTCGAAGCCTTCTTTCTGAAATGGGTTGTGTATGATGAATTCATTCTTGGAAAAAAAATTACGTTTTCAGTTCTTTTTAACCTTTTTTTTCGTAATGTTAGGACTTTATCTGTCATGGTTTTGGTTCTGT